ATATAGCTGATTGTTGAAATAATAAAATTAATAAATCAATTTATCAAGTCACAATATCTACATCTAAAGTTGCTTAAAATCAATATGATAACTTAAGATAATACTTCACAAGATACAAAGAACTTTATTTCAAGACTTCACTTGATCTCGTTTTCAATCAAAGAAATTATCTTATGAGAAAATAGGCAGATAAAGTGTAACAAATGATAAAACTTACTTATTATATATATACATATTGACTGCTTATATTCTAACTAGGTATTCGTCCATATATATTTTGTAAATAATTTTATGAAAATAAACCTATTTAAATATGAGGTACTTGTCTCCCAGTTGATTCGATACACAAGAGCATGCTCTACGTTTGAACAATTTCCAAAAGCTATTGACAAACAAGTTGATGAAAAAGTTTTATAGTCAATACAATGACCTTGTCAGCAAATACAACCTATCATTAAGTCAAATTCTGACTGACGTTTTTCATACGACCGGTAATTGTTAGGCCATAATTCACACACTGAAATGTCTACGGATTTTTCCATTTAACCCGATTATGACAAGGAGCACACGGCGGGTGTGACTGGTCGGCAGAAATGCTCACTCCTTCCATTGCACCAGATCCCTCCTCTGATGTTTTTGGAGGTCCGTGTTTGCTCTGCTCCCGATTTGTACTGTTTTTATGGATTTTGAGCTTGAATACTGTTCATTATCTCCATATTTCTATAAATCCTCAACCCTGACAAAAAATAATATTAATAGTCAACTATATTGATAACTTTAACACTATGGAATATAAAAGGTAGCGAACAGTGATCAATCTTATAAATACAATAGACAAATCAATCGTAAACAGGGGGCAAAAACACAGATCCAAGGATACACGGGAGGTGGGATCAGGTGCCTAGCAGTAAACAGTCCCTGTTGACCGGTTACACCCGCCCTTAGCCCTGTGTATTGATCAGGTATACAAAGTACTCCATAGTCAAATTAAATATAATAGCAGTGACCTAATAAATGGTATCATGCCGTAGAATATGCGGAAAGATGATTTAAAACGGGGGGGGGGGGTTCAAATCCTTGTAACATCAATTTATTTGTCAGTAGTCTGTTTCGGTTTTTAAATTGATTGTACTCAGAGCATGTTCTTGCGTATCAAATCCATTGCGAGACATAATCACCATAACAAGGTGATGATAGAATATTACTACATTAAAAGAAGTTGACGATTGAAAAGCTGAAGTAATCCACTTTGTCATATAGTTTAGTTATTAGTTTGGCCAATATTAACTATAGTCAATAAAACATCAAAATATGAAACAAATGTTGTAGCATCTGTAGTGTCTTTTATTCTGAGTTCACTGTGATAGATCGAGTCCACATATGAATGAAAGTAACTATTGTGAATTATATATAAAAATGCTGAGTTGACATGGCGGGTGTGACCGGTCAGCAGGGGATGCTCACACCTCCATGGCACCTGATCCCACCTCTGATGTTTGGAGGTCCGTATTTGCTCTGCACCTATTTTGTAATGTTTAATGGACCTTTGAGCTTGAATACTGTTCGTTATCTCCATATATTTCATTGAAGGCAACAGCAAGAGTTTTCTTTTTCTCGTGTAGAAGGTTTTCAATAAATTCTGCTCCATGTTAATTAAACAACAGGCTAATAAAGGAACACAATTTGTGTTAGCTATAGTGATTGATAATTTTGACACATTGTTTTGTTAAAGCTATAACTTTTATATCGCTACATGTATAAGATGATAACTACACAACTGATATATTAGAATTGACATATACTTAAAATTCATGTTATATTCTTTAATTCCTCTGATTATTACTTTTCCTGATGGTTTCATAAAATCAGATCTCGGAAATTTCCTCACTTCCTTGTAGACAGGTAGTTTTAAGATTTCATGGCGAGCATTTGCAAATAATTAAGAAATGGTCGTTCTCTACCTTTAATGTTAGCTATGGTGATCAAATATGGCTTCTTCTTTTCTTTTTTTTTAACTTTTCCACAAGAAAAACAGTCAATTGTTCTTTGAGATTTGCTTTTATCATTATTCATTTCGCTCAAAATTATTTTGGCGTTTGAATAAAAATTTCTCTTTTTGCCTTCAAGGACAAGTATAAACTTAAGGTCTGACGATATGTTTCTCGAATAACTGTTTTGAATCTCTTCATAATATATAACAAATAAATAATAATTATCATTATCTTGTGATTTTTAAACTGTTTTTAAATGTCTGGTATCTTGAACAAAAGCCTGGTAAGATACCTTAATATTTTATAAGGAAACTTAGTAAAGTAGCAATACCTCAATGACTTCTTGGGGAAAATTATACATTATGGAAGAACGGGCCGCCTGAAGAGTTATTCCTCTTTACATATTATAGATTTGCTTATTCACATATTGTATCTATCATTAGATCCTACTGTGAATTTAAAAGATTCTTCCTTGCCCTCACATTTTCTTCGAAATACTTCCCGTTTACTATCAGCACGGTACAGAACATTTAACGTCAATATGAAAATTCATCAATTGTCACCCAATCAAATTACAAATATCGATGAAAAATACAGCTTTCATGCTTTTCAAAAGGTATCCTCCCCGAGTCCAATCCAGTCATAAGATATCTGATCAGAATTGATTTTCTGACGTTTTTGTCCGATAAGATTAAACAGATTTGATTATTCAGAATTGTGTAGGGTCAAATAAGCCAGACATAACCCTTTTTTCATTCTATTCAATGAAGACAAAAATGCAGTATTTGCATCTTTACCAACAACCGTCCCAAAAATGAATTGAATTCTCATTTATCTTAAGTTACAGTATACATCCATCTTTCCTATATTTTTATTGAATTTTACGCATTTCTTTGAGATATAATCAGGATAGATAGAGTTACAAATCCATTTTCCTTCAATTATTTTGACATAGCTGTATGTACATCTAACTTCAATTTATTTCAATAACTTGTCGTTATTATTCACTCATTCCGCTTTTCCCACCTATATTAAGGACTAGTTAGAAGAAAATCCTTCTTTCGGATTTAGAAAATTTAAAATCAAAAAAAATTTACCAAATTCAATAACATCAAAATGTACGACTTTTCGACACTTTATACAACCATTCCCGCGATAAATTAAAGTTCAGGCTTTATGGCTTCTTAGATAACTGCTTTTTCAATAAGAATGGAACTCGTAAATTTACTTACCATGTCACTGGTAATTTGAAAAAAATATTTTGCTAAAAACATTCTGATTCTACACACAAATACTCTAAAGTAAATATTAAAAAGATGCATGAGTTTCTGATTGACAGTATCTATGTAGTTATTGGAGATCAGATCTTCCAACAATCTGTTGGGATTCCCATGGGTACCAATTGCGCCCCCTTATTAGCAGACCTATTTTTGTATTCATATGAAGCAGAATTTATTCAAAAACTAATACATGAGAAGAAGACTCTTGCTGTGACCTTCAACTCGACATTTAGAAATATCGACGACGTATTATCAATTAACAATTGTTACTTCCATTCATATGTCGACTCTATATTTACCCGTGAACTTGAAATAAAAGATAATACTGAGTCTGACACATATGTTCCATATTTGGACATTTTACTAGAAAAAAGACGTTAATGATAATTAACAACAAAATTTTATGATAAACGTGATGACTTCAACTTCTCTCTCGTCAAATTCCCTTACTTATGTAGCAATATATTCTGTAGCTTATAGAGCAATGTAGCTTTTCTTATCTATGTAGTAATAACCCTTAATCACCTGAATATGGTGTTTACATCTCACAACTTATTCGACACTTAAGAACATGCTCCAGCTACAATTATTTTTTAAACCGAATCAGATTACTGACAGATAAGTTGATGTTACATGAATTTCAACAACCTCTTTTAAAGTCAGCAATTCGTAAATTCTAAGCATGGTCATTATAATGTCCTTGTTAACAAATATAACCTATCATTGGGTCATATTTTCACTGACGTGTTTCATACCAATTGTTAGGCCTTTGTTTTTAAACTGAATTTGACTAAGGAGTGTTTCTTTTACCTGATAAAGGCGGGTGTGACTGGTCAACAGGGGATGCTTATTCCCCCTACACACCTGTTCCCACTTCTGGAATTTCCAGGGTCCGCGTTTTATGACCTTTTAACAGGTTTGTGTTGTTTATAGATTTTTTGAGATCGATCATTGTTCATTATCATCACCTTTTTCATGAAACGAGGTTGTATACGTCATTATCTTCCTCAGTTGTTGATATCTGAACTATCTATCTTTAAAGTTTTAGACGGAAGAACAAATCATCAGATTTTCTTTAAAAGGATTTTAAAAAGTTTTTGGTATAAACTGAGGATAATGGAATAAGAATCTTAGATGATACAGTGTATATCTAAAATTGGCACAGAAGGAGTAAACACACGAAGAAATTATAATTAAAACTATTAAACACCAAAGAATTTTTTTTATTGAATTTCAACAGTAGTTTCTCAATCAAAGATCAAAACAAAAAGCAAAAAAAAAAAAAAAAACACACATAAAACAAAACAAACAAAAAAAAAACAAAAAACAAAAACAAAACAAAACAAGAATAAGATAAAGTAAAACAACAAAAAAAATAGAGTAAACCATTGTCTGATTTTACATTTACCAATTACAATCATTTAATGGCCAATGTAAAAATTATTAAAGTCTATAAAAAGCGCTAACTATCAATCTGAATTGTCTTAATTCCAGAACAAAGACATAGAAAATAGTCCGAATGTTTCTTCGTGGATAAAATTTTAAATAATGAAGGTGGCTGAATAATCAATATCTCATCCTTTGTTAAAGAGAGGAATGAACATAAATTAAATCAATTCTATAAGGTTTTTCTTTGTTTAAAATGGAAAGTAGGCGTTGACTCCTTTCTTATGGTCACAATAATATTCCCATATGTCATGAAATAGAGAAAAGAGAATTCGACAAAAAGCACTTTTTCATGAATTTTTAATGAACTTTTGTCGCATACAGTAAAAATTCTTCTGAAAAAAATAATTAATTCAAGGCGCAGATTTATGTTTTAATTTTCATCCCACAGAAATCGTTTGCTGTTGAATAAAAGGGAGAATTGTGGATGAAAAATAATCCGACTTTTGTATGTGTTTTCTAATGCCATGAGAAGTCTATATAGAATGTCACCATGAATACTGATGTATGATGGAATGGTGTAGAATATTGGAGGTAAATGAATGTTGTTTCTTTCACACCAGGCACTTTGATTTGCACACACCATTTTTACGTTTCTTCTCCTGATTCAGTAGTCTCTGTAGTCTTCTGTCGCCAAAACATTGGCTAAATTATAAAGGAGCCTCGCCATCCTGTAAAACAAAACATTGGCTAAATTATAAAGGAGCCTCGTCATCCTGTAAAAAAAAACATTGGTTAAATTATAGAGGAGTTTCGCCATCCTGTAAAACAAAACAACAGCTGAATTATTAGAAACCTCGCCATTCTTTAAAACAAAGCATTGGCTAAATTATAATTTCCCTAACTTTATTGTTTTTTACATGAACTGCATAATAGTGGTATAAAAATACATTTACTTAAGGAATCACGGCCTAGTTTTTTAGGTATGCCAGAGCATCTACGAAAGTTGGAAACGTGGGGTTTGCAGAACAGACAAAACCCGTTATGCATAAATTATCCCACGTTTCCAGCTGTTGTTGATATCCCTGGCCTACCCAACAAAACTAGACAGCGATTCCTTATATTTGAATCTATATGTAAATATAAACAAAAAATTTCTAATAGATTTGAAATGCACGAAGAATTCCATGTTAATTTCTGTAGTCCTCGCCCACTGACGTCTGACACAATGATAACCGGGGAGATTAAGAACGACTTTTCAATTGATAAGATTTACATTCAGTTGTAAATACCGAGAATCCAACACATTTAACTTATATAGAGTTATCAAAGAAAAAGAGTTGGATATGTAAGTACTGTATTATACATTTCATTCAGTTCATTGTGAATGTATACCTTGATTTCTTAGAGGGCATTTAGAGGCATTGCTTGTTGTCAAATCCATTCAGTTTTCTAAACATAATTTTTTAAAGTACGATTAACTTCAATGATCCTTTAAATTTTTTTTTTCAAATCATGACAAAAACCCATGTCAATAATGTTAAAAATACACTTCACTATTTAACTGTAACATTTCACAGCCCAACCAACATCAATAATCAACAAGAAGCCAATGGACCACATCGCTTACTTGAGCACTTTTGCTAGGAAAAAGCAGAAATCATTTCATCATTGAATAGTTTAAATATAAAAGTGGACCCGTTGTCCCAACCTATCCCCGGAGGTCATGATATGAACAAACTTGATTCTACAATACATAAATATGCTTCCATATAAACAAGAGCAATAATGATTTTGTTGTTCTTGAGAAGAAGATTTTTAAAGATTTTTCCTCTGTATTCTTATGTAAGACTGATCGCCCTTTGTGCCCCCACCCTTACCCCGGGGGTCATGATTTGAACAAATTTTAATCTACACTACATGAGGATGATTCCATAAGTTTTATATTTTCTAGCCCAGTGGTTCTTAATATTTTAAAGAATGCCATAAATTTTTCACTATTTTGTAATTATATCCCCTTGGAAGAAGACGCGGCCCTTTATTTGGCCAAACTTGGATACCTTTACCCAAGGATACTTTGTGGCAAGTTTGGTTGAAACTGGCCCAGTGATTATTGAGAAGAAGCCTAAAATGTGAAAAGTTTATAGACGGACAGGCGGACATCGGACAAAATGTGATCAGAAAAGCTCACTTGAGTCTTCGGCTCAGGTGAACTTACAATTTTAATAATATCTTCAATTACTTTTAATGTCCTTATTACTTTTAAATGTCAACTACACCAATATTAATGGTATCATTATTTCCACAGTAAATCCGATTCAACATGATAAAAATTAGTTAAGCTATATAAGGTGGTGTTTTACTGTCCTCTTTGGGGAAGATAAATCCTATTCAGCTATAGTATCATAAATCAAGATAAATGCATCTATATGCATTTCTTACATTAATTTTTTTATATAAAAACATGCTATGTCTGATAGCTTTGCTTATGCAAACTAAAGTCTTTCCATGTGTAATGCTATTATTGGGATGGGGTCTCAATTAATATGTATTTGAAATGTTGAAATATACAGTATAGTTGTAAATGTTCAGCAATTTTGAAGACATTTTAAAAAAAAAATACCCAGATAGGTAGGATTTGACATCTCATTGCTGTTCATTTTGTCACATTGTAGAGGATAGTAAGAAAATGACGTTATTTTTCATGAGATAATGGTTGGATGTGGTTAATATTGGTTCAAAGCTGTCAAGTTCATGTTAATGAAATAATATTTGTGAACCATGCACTGTTGCTTATTCACAATTCACATTTTGAAACTCAAATATTGGTAATAACTTGTGACATGATTTGATCTCAGTGCCTAAACTAATGACATCTAATTTTCTAGTCTGGAAAAGAAGAAACAACGGACAACCAAATATAGATCATGTCTGAGCCGTGACAAAGATGCTATTACTCAATTGCTACCTGGTAAATTTATAATCTATGTAAGGAAACATTTATCTCTGTTATTCCGCTTACGTTATGTCTGAGTTGAAGAAGATAATTATTTGACATTTTGATGTTTTATGATATAATCAATTTTGAGTCGCTTAGTTTAGTAAACAAATTTATTAGAAAGGAATGGGATTGGAGAATAATCCTCTCTCTCTCTCTCTCTCTCTCTCTCTCTCACGTACACACTCAGTAGTTGTTTTCTTTCGATTCACAGTTAAATGAATCAAAAAAGGTAACATAAAAATACAGAATATTCCATTTATGAAACCAAGCATCCAGTTTATTACATATTTCAGTAAACTTTAAATTTTAAAAAGTTTTAAAAATGCCACTACTTCACAATGTTTATATCAATAATATCGAACTATTACACTGACTTTTCACTAAATGACCCAAAAAATGCATAGTTTTTTTTTTCTTCAAAATTTTCATTCTTATTTTGAAACTGTGGACTCCGTAGATGAAAATCCTACCAAAGTAATGAAAAATAGTTAAAGCAGTTATCTTAACATTTAAATGTGACCAAAGTGCCCATAAATATCAAAAACTTTAAAAAATATTAAACAAAACTGGACAGACAGAAAGTTAGACATGATGGTATTATTTTAGGATACCATGAATTTCAAATCGGATCCCAAGTGTCATTTTAAGTTGTTAATTAAATTGCAACATCTACGATGCCCATTAAAGATGAAATATGACTATTAAACAGGGGTGGCTATATGCAAAACTTAATTCATTCTTCATCTGAAATTCATTCATCGCGATGTTTTGTCCTTATCCTTATCATCAGATTTTAAACAGAGGAAATCCATCCTTTTAGTGCACTCTTCTTTGTCCTGTTTAATATTTACATAAAAATACCTTAAAAGTGCCGATACGTAAGATTGCTTATTCTAGCGGTACAAAGATTGGATCTCTTCTGTATCCTTTATATCAAAAGTATACAACTTGTTTAGAGGAAACGTCCACTTTGAATAAAAAATACTTTCATATCCTTTTACAAAATAAACTGTTCGTTTCAGGTTATTAGTCATATTGTATAGGATTCGAGCACATGCACTGTTATCTTGGCGGCTTAAGGTATAACTAAAGAGCCATCAATTAATTTATCTTACCTTTCATTTGAATAAGAATCGGTAACCAAACTTCTTTTTCCAAATCTGAATGGAAGTCTAAGCGTAGAACGTTTTCCCCATCGGAATGGCATCTTAATATTACAGTTACATTGGTTCGAAAGTATTCCTCTTGAACAGATATCATTACAGTCTGTAGCTTCCACTGGATAGAGTTGAAGAAAAGAAAACAATCCTATGATTGCAAGAATCAGGCTTTTGTTAGGCGACATCACTGTCTGAAGATCTGAAAGAATGAAAACATCTAACGATAGAATGTCATATATATGAAGTCCGATATTCCACGAGCCTGGGCTCCAATGTTTGCATTTCTATAAAACTAATTGATTCACATTGCGTGTATGTAACGTGGGTGTATACATAACCGTGCTCTTTAGAAACCAACACCTGAAATAGATGAGATGTATGTATGTCATAAATGGACAGGAAGTGACGCAAGCACTGCGACACATTCAGCGATCCTCGTCACATGTAACAAATGTTTGCCTTGTAACTATGTTCAGAAAACAGAATTATGTTTCTTTTGTGAACCAATAAAAAAGATGAGTCGACTGGCGGACTTAGATATTTAAGATTTGCAGGGCCTTAGATGTGTAATCCGTGGATTTGAATTTAGGGAAAGAGAGAGTCGTCAACAGAATTGGATATGTCGACGAGTCATCTCGCGATATTAAGTACTCGCATAAAATATGGAATCTACAGTACATATATTGTAGACATGACAGTTTATAATTCTACTTAAATTTCAAAAAATAATGAAATAGAAGTTTTTAATCCTGTTTCCTTAAGCTTAATGATAGATAAATAAATAAGTAAAAAAAAATATGCATTGATTGGTATATAATTTTTGACAGATTTTGAATAGAAATGACATAAATAGTTATTTCCTGGAATATTATAAAAAAAAACCGTAAGTATTCTTTGGTGTTAAAATATACGACATTGTGCCATTTTCTGTACAAATTTTTGCAAACATTTTATGACATTTTTTTTGGGGGGGGGGGGGGGGGTAAAATCTTACAAAATTTCTACATTTACTCTGGATAACATTATTCAAAATATCTAAATGAACATAAATCTATTAGACTTATTGCTGATTTTGAAAAAAAGTTTGTTATTTATCCGTCAATCGATATTGATTATTTAGTAGAGTTCATAGCTGTTCTTTTAGATTTATGTAACGTTATTGAATGAGAAAATATATGAGGAATGTTAAAAACTCAAATTACTGTAAGACATCATGCATGTTTGAAAGTTCAGATACATGTACAGGTGTGTGCAGTGACCTTTATTAGTAATACATTAAAATAAAAATGTTTTTGTTGTGGAAATGGATGGGAAAAGGCTATGTAGCTGCCACAAGTTCTTATTCCAAGTCGTTTTTATTTTGGCCACAAGGTATCATTGCATCCTCGGATGGGATGAACAGTGTAACTATGCATGGCATTACAAATTAATGAATTGTAAACATTGTCATCGGGGACCTATTACTCAAGTTGTCCATCTGCTATTATCTCAATAACTCCTGGTCAAATTATTGGAAAATATCGACAGCAATTCACCTTAAATTAACAAGGCACATAAGTTATATATTTACTTTTTGAACGCGGCGTCATTTTCTAATATCGTCATTAATTTCATTTGCTCGACATCGAGAAGCAAGCATGGCCGCAATGAACGTATTTGGATCTTATTTCTAAAAGACATGGAAAGAAACAATTAATTTTAAAAAAAATGATAAACTAGATGTGTCAGTATTGAACGAATGCGCCCACCGAAATTCAAGTTTAAATATTTTTTTTAAAAAGTCCTAGAATGTGAAAATAACAATGGATCCATGGGTTTTTCGGAAATGACGCAGAAATAGATTTTCAGATTTTTGTAGGTTGTTGGTCTTAATTCTGGTTTCGATACCACAGCTTATTACTTACAAACACATCATCATAAAAAGTAAGATAACAGTGAATAATTAGAAATTTTCAAAGTGTAAGAGCCAGAACGCTGATGAGAATAGGTCCATCAACATGAAACACGGATTGACCTGAATGTCATTAAAATAAGGAGACATGATACCAAAAATAACTTATTTTCTACAAACACAGCAAAGGCCGGAAAACCGTAAATAATTTTAAAATTAATTCAAAGTCGAGGAACAATAATAAAATAAAGAAAAGAAGCTCGATTAAAACTATAAAGAGAGAGAGACATATCAAAAATCAGATCATCAGCTGTAAGCTATCAAAGAAAAGCCTGAAAACAGTAAAAGATTAGAAAATGTCAAAGTCTAACAGCAATCTTTTTCGAAAAGGGGTTTATCAAAAATTCAAATTTGATTTTAAGTCATCAATATATGGACACATACCAAAATCATTCATTATATACATGCACTTCAAAAAAAGGTTATGGAACACTGTTTATTACTAAAATATTCAAATTCTCTATAAGAGTAGTAACTTTTGTTAAAATATGTTCATCAGAATGAAGCTTCAAACTGACATGTAAGTCATCAATATGAAGAATCATCCCCAAAACTCAGTTCATTTATATCTACGAGCACTGCAAAAAAAATTCAAAAGCGGTGCTCATTAAAAACATTCAAAGTCTATGGAAATTTTCCATGAAATGGACCATGGAACTCGAACTTGGTCTGTAAGTCATCAATGCAATATATGGAGATAACGAACAGTATTCAAGCTTAAAAGTCCATTCAACAATACAAATTGTGGAGCAGAGCAAACACGAATCGACCTCTAAATCATCAGAGGTGGGATTACGTGCCATGGAGGAGTGAGCATCCCTTGCCGACCGGTCACACCCGCCGTGTGCTCCCTGTCATGATCGGGAAAAAAAAAACGGAAAAATCCGTCGACAATTCAGTGTGCAAATAATGGCTACAGTTAGTATGAAAAACGTCAGTCAGCATTTGACTTAAAGATAAATTGTATTTGCTGACAAGGTCATTGTATCGACCATAGAACTTGCGAAATGACGACTTTAAACGAGACAGCTGATATTCTTGTTTCAGCAACTTGTTTGTCAATAATTTACCTCGTTTTAGAAATAGCATGCTCTTGCGTATGGAATCAACTGAGAGATATAACCCCGTATGCAGGTGATGAAGGTATATTAATGCATAAGTAAGGGAAGTTGACGATTGAAAAGTTAAAGTCATCACGTTTATCATGAAGCTTGGTTGTTAGATTACCATTAACGTCTTTTTCTAGTAAAATATCCAAATATGAAATAGATGTGTCAGACTCTTTTATTTCAAGCTCACTGGGATGTATCGTATCGACATAAGAATGGAAATAGCCATTTTTAATTGAAAATACGTCCTCGATATATCTAAATGTCGAATTGAAGGCCACAACAAGTGTTTTCTTCTTTTCACGTATCAGATTTTGAACAAATTCTGCTTCATATGAATATAAAGAAACATGCAAAAAATCAGCTCTTTATCTTCATCCACAACAAAAATAAATAAAATATTAACAAGTTCTGAAAACGATAAATAATCAGAAATTCAAAGCTTACAGGCATTAAAATTTGTGAAAATGGGTCAATCATCATGAAACCAAGGAGTCATACCATTAAAAAGCTCATTATATACAAATTCCTGCAAAAAAGTCAAAAAAGTGAATGATTAGAAATTTCAAAGCATTAGGGGAATTTTTCCGTGTATTGAGTCTATCAACATGAAACTTGAACTTGATTTGTAAGTCATCTGTATAAATATACTAAAAATTAGCTCATTTTGTTCATGCACTGCAAAAGGCAAAGAAACAAACACAAATCCTGTACTAGTGAATAATTAGAAATTTACAAAGTTTAGGGGCAATAACTTTTGTTAAAATGGGTCAATCAACATGAAATAAACTTGATCTGCAAGTTGGAATCATAATGGGATATATTAAATTCAGTTTATTATCGACAAGCTCCAGAAAACTATGACAAACGACGGATAGGGGTACACTACAGGTTCCGACCATTCAATTACGGAGGCATAAAACTTGTATTTTCCGATCATTCTTAGTCACTTTTTTATCGAGAGACAGTAAACTATCAATATGGGGTGACTTGGATCAATAGCACGTTTACTTTTTTTTAAAGGTGTTGTTAAACAAATTACCGTCATTTTATATTTGTTACCATCCCTAAGGTATATCAGATGCATATAATTTGTCATAGTTAAGCTGTATAGTCATTATTTCGATTAAACCCGTGATACCTCTCTGATTCTTCTAGATAATATAGAATTAATGGCAAACTGAATTAGAACATAATCGTATAGGCAATGAAATTATGTGTTTGCTTTGCAACCGAGATTCTATTAGAGCAAAACAGTTCGGTTTCGCGATGTTTATTGCTCTTTCATGGTAATAAAATGTTTAAAAATATTTATTTATCAAGTATTTATTATACACATTACTTGTTATTTAAGATCATTTTCTTGTGGTGTCTTTTCATTAAATATCTCGGAGCCATCGACACAGTGGAAGATCATTAAACATCTCTAATAAAGCACACAATAGGAATAAATACAAAAATTACCGCCTCAACTCCCACGTACTTTACAAATTACCGGCGCTTCTTTGTATTGTGTAGGCATCGAACTCTCATGTAACGCCATAAGTGTAGTACATGTACTTTCTTGCATTTCTGACTAATCCGAAAAAAAAGCATCTTCGTTATTTTTTTTTGTTCAGGATAGAAACAAAGAACATAATTTCTTTTAATTTGGACACACACTTGAAGTATGCAGAGTTGAGAAAGTTTTCTATGGTCAACAAAAAATTTACGTTGATAAGACTGTTTGGGGCCGTTCCTTGAAGGATTTTGTAGCTGTTCAACGTCTAATCATAGACAATAAAACGACCATTTGCAAAAAGGAAAATGAAACATTATATTATACATGTACATGTATATAGTCATCTTCTGCCCTCAAGGATAGCCAAATCGATCTAGATCTCTGCCTTATTTACCCCACAAACTTATTTCCAGCTTCTTATTGGCATACATTTAATTAATGGACGTAAAAGTCGAAGTTTGAAACTCTAAGGATACTGAAATAAATAACGGTATTTCACCGTTGAAAAATAGATAAATAGTGTATACTAAAACAGTTTCCAAAACCTTTGCTAAACAGGGAGCTCTCCAGTGGAACAGGTACAGGTACCATATATGCCATAGTGAAAAATGTCAAGACTCTGAAGTGTTCAGTTATTT